ATGATTAAATTAAGTATATTTAGGCTAGAAGAAGTATTAGACCCATTATAAACATTTTAAGGCCAGATAAGTCTGACTTATTGACGAATATATATAAAATATAGTCTGACGGAAGTTTAAAAAAATTTATATTAGGTATATGAGGCATAGGGTAAGTATTCACCCGATGTTATCCACTTTTTACACAAATCTTACCTATTTTACAATATATCTCAAATAATATAATTAATATATCCTAAATATTGACCTATAGTTTCGGTATAAAGACATAAACACTGTAGTCCACATGTTCGGTACTTGATAGCTTTAAAAGTAACTGCCCGATTTGGATAATTTTGAAATATGAGGTGATTTCTACAAAATGTTCAGTTTTTAAATTTTTAAACTTTGCTCACTGTGAAGTCAATAGGACCTCTATCAATTACATCCACTGTCTTAGGAAAGGCATTTTATACATATCAAAGCTTTAAATAGTCAAAGTGAGCAAATCCAGCATTGAATATGTCAATCACCCATTTATAATAACACAATTTTTATACCCTGAACAGGGTATATTAAGTTTGCCACGATGTTTTCAATACCGGAAACGCTATATACTTATATGTAATATGTATACTCGTATATAAATGATCAGCGTGACGAGCTGAGTCGATTTAGCCATGTCCGTCTGTATATACGCGAACTAGGCCCTCAGTTTTTGAGAAATCAATCTGAAATTTTGCACACGTCCCTTTCTCCCCAAGAAGCTGATCATTTGTAGGAATCGTCGCTATCGGCGGAGTGTATTCTAGCTTCGGTGCAGCCGAAGTTAACGTTTTTGCTTGTTTAAAATAAAACTTTCAAAAGTATTACACAATAACACTATAAATTATTATACATTTCCCTATTATCCTGAATATATAAAGTTTTAAATCAAATTTGTTCTATAACACCTGGATAACTGGTTTCAACGAAGGAAAAACCTGTTCACGCAGTCACGTCATAAGTGTAATAGTATAAAATGTAAATAAATATAACAGTTTTATTCACCTAACGGTTGCTTGCCTCACCAAAAAATAATCGAGTTAAATATAGCGTTATATAAGTATACTTATATAAATGATCAGAATGATGAGGCGAGATGAAATCTGAGTGACTGTCTGTATATCCGTCCCGTCAGTCTATCCGTGCTGTAACTTGAGTAAAAAGTAAGATACCTTGACATTAGTTTAATGCCGAAAATTTTTGAAATTATATTATATTACAATACATATAATAATTTCCGTTATTCATATAACAAACCGCTGAACATAATTGGAGTTGATCTACATAGACCTTGGTCATAATCTCATATCCCGAATATCATAAATTTTGCACATGAACTCAATATATTGCATATATTCATTCGCGATTTCGTTGAATAATGAATATTGAACTCTTTCGCAAAATTTTTTGATATGAAGTTTTGCCAACGCCTGAATGTATTCCACGGAGTTGAACTTTGCAAGTTGAAAGAGTATAAAATGTTCGGTTACACCCGAATTTAGCTCTTTCTTACTTGTAGTAATTATTTTTGTGAGTCTACCATATGTTCTAATTGACACTCCTATATCACGCAATGCTTAAACCTCAGTGACTTCCTTGCATCATATTAATATTATCATAACAAAATTCATATTGAACCATTAACTATATATGTATATGTGTATGTATTACGTTTCAAAAATACCATTCAAGTTCATATAGTTGAATTACATTTTTAAAAGCTAAGACTTTTGACTGGAGAAGAAGTATATTTGTATATCATTTATTTATTAAATAATAAATTATTGTACACAAAGACGGTTCTTTTCAGTAATTTATGTAATATATGATACTTCGCTTCTAGCAACTTATAGTACAAATAATTATCGCAATAAATGTTTGCCATAAGAGAAAGAAATAAAAATTTAGCTACACCAGCAGATTAGTAAAATCTTTCTCTTCATGTACCTAGCCTCGAGTCACATATATTGAGTTTAAACTCAATAAAACAAGCTTTATTTATATAAATATCAATATTAAGTATAGCTGACTTTTATCAATCAAAAACATTTTGAATTCCTAAAAATAATATGCTGTAAATTAAATTATACCTTTAATAATTTAGCAAGTTGAAATTTTGGTTTCATAAAAAACTCTAATATTATGGGCGGACAGTTCATTCCGAGCCCCCTTATGTAATAATTTCTTTTGAGTCGTGCATACATTTTTTATCTCGAAAACTCCCACATAAAAGGCCGAAAACACATAAACCAGACAATCTTATCTTCTTTAATGTTGGTCATAAATAATTTTCATCAATGTATGACCTTTTAGACTTCCATATATACTGACACAAATATATAAAGCCAAGCATTGAAAGAAGTAAGTTTGTGGAGTCCGTTAATTACGACACTTCGCTGCAGATTCTCGCCTTAGTCGTTGTGAGCAGTACTTTTGACAGCAAATGTGCTCACATTTAATTATCATCACAAGCAACACCAACCAAGGCTCGAGTACTTTAAGGAAGCACCCAACGCCGACTTGCAACAGAGAAAAAGTGGCAAGAACGCAGGCACCTTCTGCTTACTGTCTTATGAAATGTTGAACACAGTTGAGGTGGTGCTCATTTAAACACCAGAAACAATAATCAAAGCCAACAGCTTCTCACCAACACAGGCCCCAAGACAAGACTGTTGCGTAAGAATCCACTTGCCGAGAGTCGTTTGATGGCAAGAATTTAGCGCACTAAACAAACACAAATAGAAGCTACTAACACAATATGACTTACCAGTCCGATGGCGAAAGTGTGCTTGTGCACTTTCCAACGCGCTGACGACTGCAAGTGTAAATGTGTTGACCGAGGTCCGCTGGTTGTAATAGTTGTTGACGATTATGCACTTAAGAGAACACATTGCATAAAAGTGGCATCAGCGGCACAAATGGCCCAACGATGGACCGACGGTCAATGCAAGACGAGCGCTTATATGCGACTGCCAGCTCTTAGGCGCGGAAGTTTGCGGCCCGGTAATTGTTTCCGTCTCGCTAACGGATTATTTGTACTTTCCCTTAGGGTTTTAACGAATGCAAATTGCGATTTTCACTTTTTCAGACGCTTCAACGCATAGATTTGAACTTCCGTTTCCGGCTGTCGTTTTGTATCCAAAGCTAATCAACGTCTCATTCACAGCTCACTTTAACACATTTTCTGCACATATGCCACTGCTGGCGAACATTTCATCAGCCGAATTATTCAAATTAACGACATAAATCAGCACTTTTCATACTTCGTAGTCACTTAGCAATAATCGCACTGCGTTTTGTGGGAGATCACGAACAGCCATATGGACACAGGCCTTTTAAAGAATTTTAAAATTTGTTTTTGGTTTCTTTATTTGCCTTTGATGGGCATTGCTATCTAAAATTGGTGGACGATTCTTCGCGCTAACCACGACCGATCCAATGCATCGTTTCAACCGAACTGTTTCAAACATTCGCCAAGATTTGTGCGGCTCTGCTTGTCTAGCAGGCGTTGTCGGTAACAGTAATGTTGCTAGCATCCTTCGTGTGAAATAACAGTAAATCACTGCATTTATGTTCGGCCAGCGTTAACAGAGAGCGGCAGTGAACTTTTCCAGCACGCTGGAATCAAGCACGTGTGTGTGTATGTGGCACATGCGCATTGCCCGAATAAACAAATACAAGATTTTGCGAAAAGCGCGCCAAAATGCTCGCTTGTTGATTGGGAAACCGCGTATTTCACAGCCAGCAGGCCACAAAATAAGAAAGCAACAAAATTCCAGGCACCCTTGTACAGTTCAATTAGAAGCGAGTCAGAGGCATTTGGTGCCGCAGCGTCTTAAAGCAGCCGCGATGCTTTGCCCCCACTTTACATTATGTACGCTAGCAAAGAATTATGGTGGATGGTGCCTATAGACCCTAGCAGACGTGTTTATGGTCATTGACATGTTTACGTTGCGGCTGAAACAATTTGTTTTTTAGAGCAAACAGAAATTAAGAAAGTGCTAGAGTGGTGCGAAGGTCTCAAGCCAATTAAGTACTTAACAGTGTTTATGTAAATTTGGTGAGTTGAAAAATAAAAAATGTACAATTTGTATACTTAGAACCACTCATACTAATTAATATTGTAGATTTCTAAGTGTGTAAGCAAAAATATTTGTAGTAAAAGAGAAGTCACCCTGAGCTGAGTCGATTTAGTCATATCCGTCTGTCTGTCCGTCCGACTGTATATAGAGCTGCAAAACAATCGATGTAACTATTGTTAGTATGAATAGTGAGTGGACTATCGATCACTTATGCATACAACTATTTTCATAAAGTTGCAAAAGTTCTCTTAATAAAGCTACATAACGATTTAGTCTGGCAATACCAAATGTAAAGTGTTTTAGTTATAACTGTCAATTGGGTATTAAGAAAATCATAGCAACTTTAATAGGAATCTCTGATAGCGCTATTGGGTAATTAAGAACTGATTTAACCGTAGGTGGCTTGCAGGCAGCTTACAGGTGGCTTACAACAAATTTTTAAAATAATATACAAGCTACTAAATTGAACTATTTTTACACTTTAATTAGATGTTGATTGCGTTAAAAGAAATGTTGTGCAAATATTTACAATTAGGTAAGAATTACTAATGTTCTGAAGTGCCGCATGGACATAACCTCAGTTATTAAGACATAAAATATTTTAATGCGTATTAAAAACCGTGGAAAAATAAAAATTGTAAAGAAACCTTCATTTTAGTTATTACTCCTGATTTTGGAGAATAAAATAATTAAATTGAAACATGTTAGGCGAACAGTCTGTTGCGATCGAATTTCACAATATACATATGAATATACTCATACATACACCCCGAGACATTAGTCTGCCTACAGTGCTTATACACGAATGTTAATTAATTTTAATTTTACAGAGTCGGAAATATTGTGAATACAAGCACTTTATTTCGGTAGTTCAGTTTGTATGGCAGCTATAAGCTATAGTGGCCCGATATCGGCCGTTCCAATCCCCCTTTCAGGGTATAACAAGTGAAGTATTGAAGAATAAAATACTCTACCGAAACGTTGTTTATGCATACATTTCTTGATCTCATATTACATTATTGTAGTAAATGTACCCTATAAAGAATGTGCAGTTTTTAACTCGTCAGCTCACAGAGCAGAAAATTTTATAACATACTCGTATGTAACTTTTTTGTATTTTCCGTTATTTTACATGTTTAGTTTAATACATAAGTCCAAAGATTATTTCTTAAAAATGAACTGTATAAAACCTAGGTCTATTAATTAAATTTAATATTAAATCAGCGAAAAGTAAGTAGATTTCAAGAGGAAAAAGTATCGATACTATCGGTAGTATTTTTTAAACTATCGATTGATCGGTCTATCCATAGTTTTGCAGCTCTATCTGTATATACGCGAACTAGTCCCTCAACTTTTGAGATATCTAATTGACATTCTGCAAACGTTCTTTTCTCCCCAAGAAGGTGCTCATTTGTCGGAACCGTCGATATCGGATATACAATATAGCTGCCATACAAACTGACCGATCAAGTTATTGTATTGTATGGTATATTTTATTATTTGTAAAGGATATTATAACTTCGATGGAGCATATATAGAAACATTTTTCCGATTTTCCTCCTTTGAAAAACTTTAAATAGGTATGCAAATTATGCAACTCTGTCTACTCTATTTTTGAAACTTCCAGCTTGTTTATAGTTTCGCTTAGAAACTCTAAATATTTCACTCTATCAAATGGATGCGCCTTGTCCTGTCGTTGTTTCTAAGAATATTGAGTTTTCAAATTCAAATATTGGCAGAGCCAAGACGTTGCGCAAAGATGTGCAAATGGAGGAGCACTTTTGTATTTGTGAATGCAAGTAATTACGTCGGTAATGCAACAAAAAAGGGGTATACGTGAAAATTACAGTTAAATTACGCACTTAATGGGCTGCACAACAGTGCAAAATGATGTCATTAGGCGAAGAAATGGAAATTCACAGTTGGCAGAAGCATTTTGCAACACAATTGACTCTGGCCAACCTCGGCCAGGGGGAGGACCTGGCGTTGCTTCGTAGCTCGACCTCTAAACTGCTGCAATGGGGGTGAGGCGGCGAGTAACTGTTGTGTACCGCAAATGTATGTAATAGAGTGCTGTGTTGTTGTTGTCGGTGCGGAACGTGACTGCAATTCTTGTGACAAATGCTAAGCTAACCACCACAACCATCAATTTGTTCGTGTATTTTTGTTTTTGTTGCTGGTGTCTTTTTTTTTTATTCATTTACATTGTGCAATTACTTCGACTGATCGGTGTTTACAGAATCGCTTGACAAAGTGAATGGAAGTGATGAACAATTATTTAAAAATTTCGCAAAGCTCAGTGATGTTGAAAGCATTTTAAGTCGAGGATCTTGACTATTATATTCATGTTAGAAGTCTAATTGTACATGGTAAATAAAATTGACCGTTAGGTTGATGGCGTAACTGACAGTTAAAGCGTTGTGGGTCTGAACCTAAATTATTATCAGTTCAAAGCAATTGATCCCCACTCTCAGGCTCTTTACCAAAAATATGCAAAAAATAAAGAAATTTTTTTATGTGGAAGGTTTGTATACGAGCCGTCTGGACTTACATTCTACAAAATGTTATGCTTCACCCAATGAAAATCTTCCTTTGTGTACCGAAAAAAAATGTCTATAAATATGTCAGTCTACAAGTGGAAGTGAAAGGGAGGCTGAAATATAATATAATATATACACCAAACTTGTTTTCTCAAAATCAATTCAGTGATTTGATCCAAAATCGATCTTATGTCTGGGGCAACAAACCGACAGTAGGCCAGTGTAATTTTTCAATCGAAATTTGGTTCAGATTAATGCAGTCTAATCGGATGACTAGAATTAAATAATGAAGTCACAATGGAAGCAATGTCACATATCAATGCAAAAATTTGGCTTCCAAAAAGAATTCCAAAATATTAATTCGGGGTTCTTTTTGGACCACTGTGAGCTCGCGCCCATGTCAACTATTGCGATCAACTTAAATTTCCGGTCGCCCAAAATCTTTCAAGAACAGTATTTTTCCAAGCTGCATATTACATATTTCCACGGTAAGCATTTATACTAATTCAATAAATTAACTTTTATAATGAAGCTATGTGTATATAATTACATATGTATGTATATTTTAGGTGCAATGCTAAGCAATTAAATTATGGAAATATAGCTCACTGGCTTCGTAGAAACTTTCAAGTTCCCTTGCATAAGTTTTTTTTACCGTGTTTCGCTTGAAGTACTCTCCAAATATTCACAACTCTCGCTTCGTAGCTTGACATTAAATTTTTCTCTGCCACTTGTACATTTGTGTGTGTGCATATGTGTACACAAAGCATAGCATTGTAAAAAACGACAAAATAAAAGTTTTAAACATTTTTAATATTTAGAGAATTCATAAAGGAATGCTTGATGGATTGGGCAATGTGATGTGCAAGTCACCGACATAAGGCATGAAATGTCAAAAAGTTGTCAAATACTTAAGAATATGCCAACACAGTACAGTAGTGTTCGGATTAATAGCAGTGAATGTCTAGGCATGAGAAAGTAGTAATAGTCTTTCATAAATAAGTGCACTTAAATTTTGATCAATTTCGTTTTCGGATAATGTTAGCCATATTTCAAAATCACAAGTCTAATTGAACGGCTTATTTATACGGTATTTATTCCTCTGCCTACGGGGATATAAATCTATTATAATTGCGCTATATTTTAGCTGGTATATGATACCTTGAAATATACGTACAGCAGCCTCAAGCCAATATTTACTTTATATTCATGTGTAGAAAAAGTCGTGAATCATTTTATAGAGTTATTTATATATAAATTATCAGGTTTACATAATTTTATGTTTACAACGGATGCCACCTGTTGCAAATTTGTTATTCAATTAATTTATTTTGATAAAATATAGCAACAATTATAGGCCGACATCTTAATAAGGGTACAGAGTGTGTACAGAGCATCTGGTTTTTCTCCATTTTGCCAAACTGAATTCCCCTACTTTTCATTGTTTTTAATGTGACTAAAATAAGGCGGTCCCTCTCACTACCAACTGTTTTGATCATGCTACCATATATACCTGTCTGTTTTTAGCTTCGAATTAGCACAAAATTTATTCCGACACGCACATTTCCCAGTGGCGTTATATCACTAATAGCCCTTTTAGTCCCAGTTAACACACGGACTCTTTTGTCGTCCAAACCGGTTTTTTGTGAGCGAGGGGACGACGAGGAAAGACGGACCGTGTCGCTTCTGCTCGGATAGCACGCTTTATGTTCTTGTTCGTAACAGTTCGCTGTCATGGAATTCGGCATTCGATTTCATTTTGAAATTATTTCCATCCCCGCAATAGCGCTCGGTTTTAAATGAATATACAAATACGATATGTTAGAAAATTTAAATTTCGTTATCTATTTTTTGTATGTTATATGCAAATATGTATGCATAGAATAATAGAAATATTGTGAATACGGGAAATTATTAATATACTCAAAAATATTTTATTTAAATTTTTAATAACATTTTTTATGTATACATAAATAAATTCTAATAAAAATGGAGTAAGTTTTACAGTAAGTAAGTAAGTAAGTAAAGTTTAGATGCTTTCATATTTATTTCATTTCATAAATGCTTTATAATAAATAGAATAAATATGGAGTAAAAAAATTATGGGTTTTTAATACTTCCGACCCATGTATTTCTTTGAAATTATTAAGCGGGTATTATGCATATTTTTCTACCACAATCATGGTAATTCCTTGTAAGCAAAATGTGAGACCACCATACCAACATACAAATGAACTATACAACACGCTCTATGTGTCGCGTAGCCGAACCGCACAAACATTTGCGAAAATTTTATAAAAAGGAATGACAGAAAAACTCGACTCGAGTTGCCGGACTCTTTTCGCTCGTGTGAACGCACAGAGCGACACCAAAGGAGAATTTGCCGATAATGAGCGACAAAAGAGTCTTCATGTGAACTCAGTATAACTGAGTTGCATCGTCGGTACGACCGCACATAATACACTTTTGTTCAGAAAAAATCTCCGAAAGTAATAATCGAACTAATTGGCTAATTTACGGTGCCATTCACCTGTTAACACAGATTGACACTTGCAACAATAACGCTGTGGTCACCGTCAAATAATCGCTAATAATATTGTATATGAGTGGCTCGCTTTCCTGTATTCTCGTAAATATGTAACGCGCTTTTAAAGCAGGGTAATGGATATCAGTTGGCATCGCAGCAAAGTAGCAACTTACTTATGCATTTCGTATATCTTTTATCACCATCAAAAATGCCAAAAGTATTTAAGAAGCACTTCCACTGTAAAAACTCTCTTTTTAACGCGTTTAAATTTTTTTCTTAAACGGTAATTAAAATTACGTGCGCATGGTTGCGAATTTCATCCGAAGTTAAGAAATTTCCCGTAGCGATGCAAAGACGATTAGTGGCTTATTACATATAGACGACCGTAATGCTGACTTATTAAAAGCATAACCAGCATTTATGCAAATGTTTACTTGTAGAATAAGTAAGATTAAATGGGTTTAATAGGCATGGAATTAAGCAGATTTTAAAATGATTAAAATGAAAATGAAAAGCTCGTCGAGCAAAGATGTTTGATATTTAGCTGTGCATGTGTAGAGTGTCATGTTATGCGGCTTAATTGAATATTTAGATATTAGTTATAAAAAACAGGTGAATTAGGCCTCTTACTATCATTTAAATAACTTGTGCACTAAGAATGGTTTGCCGGGTCTTATTGTAATGTAATGTGGGCGCATTATTTGTCTCATATCTTTTTGGCAATTATAGTCGTTGAATCAAAGCTTATTGAATGCCAAGTTACATCAAACAGATAATTTAATTTAAGCAAAAATCTTGAGGCAGAAGAAAATTTTTATATATTTTTCTTGTATCTACGGTTTTAACAAATTTCCATAATAACTGAAACGAAAGCTATAATCCTAATAAACCGAAACCGTGGTCTGACACTACATGGCGAAAAATCGTTGTAACAAGCATTGAAGTTGACTTATTTGAGTATTAGTTTACCTCCACTAGATAAAAGAAGTTTTTTTAAACATGTGGTTTTCCAGAAGAAATAAAACGCATACATTTTAATATTATGGCTAAGTATTCAGTTTAATTATAAAGATATAGCGTTGTCATTGAGTTTTAAAAACGATTTAGGGCAAGTAACCGCCGCGGTTGGTTTTAACGGAGAGGCCTAATTTTAGACCAAATTTTTCTGCAATTGGGGCCGTATGTCAGCAATAATGATATATATACAATATTCTCTTCCAAGGCATCAATCGTTTTGCGCACTATAGTATAGCGTTGTTAAATCGCACGATCTTGAAAGCCACAAACTCACCAAAAGTTTCCTTAAAAAAATTAATTGTTTCGTTGGCTGGAACCAAAGGTCACCCACTTCAATACGCTCTATAGCGTTCTCCACTGATTGTTACATTATGGCCGGCTTCGTTTTTAAAGAAATATGGACCACTGCTTCCCTCTGCCTAAAGAGCACACAAACCAGTAACTTTTTAAGGATGTAACGATATCTCAACAATGGCTCTTGGACTACTATCACTCCAAATGCGACAATTTTGTTTATTAACGTCCTTAAACACTTAAATCGCTGAACAAAATTTTCTTGTGAAAATCGGGTGCGGTGGCCATTTCGTTTTAGGCCCATTCATCAAACGTGCGACGCGTTTGATGGGGGTTCGGCTTCAATCATTTCACGAGTAGGGTTTTGTCAGCCCATTCATTAGCAACATTCAGTATAATCCATACATGTACATGCTTTATAAAAATTACTATACTTTTTCCTAAGCTATATATGTATGTGTTGTTATTTATAATTTATATATTATATAATTTTTTTGATTTAATAAAATATTCAAATAGTTCCTACATGAATTTTGAACAAATGCTTATGATTTGAAACGGAATCTTTTTATTTATAAATTGTTTTAACTTTTTGCATAAAAAGATAAAAAGTATTCTATGTGCGTGCTCAGATTCTAAGACCTCCACATCAATTGTCAGCCAAATCGATACAGCCGTTCATGAGCTATAAATTGTGTAACTAACACTATTTTCTTTTGTAGAGTACATATGTATATAGAATAATCAGCATTACTTATTTTTATTTATTACTGCTTAATCAAATAATTTCTTGTTTTGTAATAATTTCATAAGGACTTCATTCAACAGTCAACGAACAGATTTGTATTTAGGAATCAAATTCTAAATCTCTGTCACTTCCGATGTACTAAATGTCAATGCTTACAATATTTAATCATCCAAAGTGAACAAAGCGAATGAGAAGAGTGCCATTTGTCAAATGCTATAAATAATCTCACTCAACTGAGCTATTTGCTTTGCCTTCGACATAGTTTTCTCTTTCAGTTGATCCACTTTACATCTAGACAACGAACGATGGCGAAACTTTTGTTACAAACTAGAAACTTAAAGCTACTTGTGTTCATAAATATTCTTGGCTTTTGATAATTTTGAACAGTATTGCACTTCGTGGTAAATTCATAATGCAAATAGAATGGAAAGTATTACGAAATCGCAATAACATTCTTCTCATATTTCTATGTTGTAGTGTGAAAATGGGTGAAATCGAATTACAACCATGCCTATTTTCCATATAACACCATTTTTAATTCCATCCTATTCTTTTACTTTCCCTAGGTACTGAATATGTGGACCCCAGTGCCTATAGTTGACTTTTTACCGAAAATATCGGTCAATGTGTAAGATATATAATTGAAATTCATATAATAAAATAGATAAATTAAACTCTCGGTAATAGTATGTTTTTGTGTCAAAAATGGGTTGATTCGGATCAATACTTCCTTTAATATACAATTTTGCCAACATCTGAACTAATTTCCCGGGTTTTGATCCTTGCAAGTTGCAAGAGTATAAAATGTTTTGGCAATTACCTCGCCATGGTCACTAACGATGGACTGGACGATGGTACTCGATTTTGTTACCAATAACAACTTTTTTTCGTAAAAAATAGTGAGTGAGAAAATTTTTTGGAAGTACCAAAACTCGCACCACTTAAAATGCCATATCTAAAGAACTCTTCGACTGTCTGAAATTGCTACACGTGTATATGAGAGGCCAGCATATTAGATAGCCTGCTATTATTATCGCTCCTTACTCGAACCTTAACTTTCAATTAAAGTATTGAAAATAATTTATATTCCATTAAATAGGCAATTAATTAGAAATTCTATACAGAAGTACTTGAGTTATGGGAAGCCACTGCCGGAAAATTTATGTAGGTATAGTTTGTTAATAGGAATTTCAACAACGCAACAGCAACAAAAAGTATCAACAATAGTAAATATATCAAAACTACATAAGCCATTTAAACCAAATTACTGGAATGCATGGACTAAAGCTTACATCTACTCGTGCATATCTATGTAAATATTTGGGATTGCACGCGACATAAATATCAACTAATCGCAAATGAGCGGTAAAACACTAATGAGACCGAGATGGTGTGGTCGTGTGTGGACGTGTGTAATAAAAATCGGTTGCCGGCAACTGTTGCCAGTGCTCGATAACTCGATGAATTGCCACCGAATTTAATTAATTAGCGGCATTAATGGATAACTGTTTGTAGGCATAAATTTATTGCAACAAATTTCCGTTAAAATTGTTGAAAGCAAGCGTGTTTGGGCACATAATTAATGGATCCATGGTTATTGAGTATTAGTGAATAAATATTGAAAAGCTCACAGTAGGGTACTTGAAAAATGCATATTGGGGTAAATTATATTATATATAATATTTTATTTCATAAGTGGATAAAGCTTTGCCATAAATTATGACCGAATCGGTTAAGAAAGAATTAAAACGTTCGAGAAAACCTGAAATTCTCATAAATGAGAAAGCTCGAGTAGCAACATCGCGGGTCCTGATGGGTTAGTGGCTAAGCTAATCATAAATGAAGGAAGGCTGATAAAAAATGTGTATAAGTCCTTATATAAAATATGTTCGCTCAATATCTTTCAAATAGAACTCTAGCCTATACCCAGAAAAGTTGAAATGAAAATGGATTTAAAGGTTGTAATATATTATAAATACATGTGCCACGCATAAAGTGAAGAGACGAATAATAGAAATTTTTAATACAAGGCACTTACTCAAGGAAACAAAAATTTAAAACCTCAAAATTTGTAACTTGTTTATTTTTCAATGTTAAAATTGTTTTTTCTCCTAAATTTAACACAAACTATCTCTATAAGCCACGGCACTGCACAAAGCGCCATAAAGAAGTTCAGACAATGAAAGGTCACAATGTAGTCTTGTGTTAGGTCGCGCAAATAGCCCACCAGAGGACCAACGGCGAACATTATATTGCCTTGCAGGAACATGAACAAGCCATAACCAGTTGCGAATCTGCGAGAGAGTGGAAAATTTGTTAAACTCATTGCCATTATTTACGCTTTCACGTAGGTCTTACCTCTCCTTTGGCAAGTACTCGGCGAAGACAAGAGGCAGTGGCACATGAATCCAAGTACGTAAAAATCCCATTGCAGCTGTAGTGCAGACCATGTCCGCGTAGCTGAATACATTTAAAAATGCTGAAATCAAAACAAAAATGAAAGCAAAACTTTTAGTGAACTCAATGCATGTGCGGGCCCAAATATAGTCACAGAAAAACAAATACGCCGGAATATTTGTGTGTCCACCCACAAAACGGCGAGTGGTTGTGGTATCGTATTTCATACCCGTTTATCTCAGCCAAAGTAAATATTGATTACGCTCGGGACGCAGAGTACGCAAATCGGTATGTTCACAAACCACTTACTTCTCTGTACTTCGCGGTGGGTTCAACGTACACCAGTTTAGTCGTGTAATATATACCCTAGCGGTAATAAATATGAAAACGGATATCACTATCGTACTATCTGGCTGAGGAAGCGTTTGATACTGATAAACTTTAGAACATCATAATTCATCGGAGAAATCTTCCCCGATTCGTCAACATATTTTCGTGGGCAAATTGTAAGCGAACGGTAATCGATGACAACAAGTGTGTCAAGGCCGGCGGTACTTACCAAAGCGCGCTATGACTGTAAAGAAGGAACCGGCCAGATATATGTAACGGGATGGCATTTGAATGAATATGGCGGAGAATGCTAAAAATATACGTGAAGCTAAATCAGCAGCGGCCCCGATGGCGATAATGCTAGCAGTATCCGGCTAGAATTATTTTGGTTATACAAGTCCGACAACAACGAATACAAATAATGGAATTACGTACCTTTGTGAAACCCAACTCAAAGAGGTATAGCGGCTGCAGCGTGAAAAACGCAATATCAGAGTAGAGCGCAAATGAAATACCCAATACAATGTTAAGGTAAATAGGTTTCTTTAGCAACTTTAGATCCAAGAAGTTCACTAGAATTTGCCAGCAGCTGCGCTCTTCTTCAACTGTATTAACCGCAAGCATTGATTGAAACGGCGTCATTTCCGGTGAAGCGTCGCGCACAACAATTGGACCGGTCCAATTACCAAGGCTTGTTATGCTTGACGCGCGGCTTGAGATCTTTTTCACATCCTCTCTCGTTATACTTGCAGCTAACGAGCGTGGTTTGCCATGTATTAGCGGCGACAAATTGTTGGATTCCATAACGGGCGTAGCTCGTTCATTATATTTCTTATATTGATTATTATTTACGTTTCTGTCTAGAGTCAGAGTGTAATCTTCACTTCCCAAATTCTTTACATCTTCATTGCAGATACTTGTAAAAATCTGCTCGATGTGTACGGTAACCTTCCGCATATGCCATTCTACGGGCTGCATTAGCAACATTCCCAGGATAGCGTGGGAGTTAATTGCTGCCAAAACTAGCAAACAACCACGAAATCCGTAGAACTCCATTAATTTTTGCATGCCAACCGGATAGAACATAGTGCCAACGCCGATAAGCGACTGTGCAAAACTCATCCACATCACCCGCTTCTCAACGAAGTAGTTGTTGAAGGTCGTATACGATGTGGGCACAATGAGACCGAAACCAGAGCCCTGAATAACGCTGAAGGCGAACAGCAGCTCCCACGTGGAACGCACGAATATCTGTAAGAGCGAGCCAGAAAAGTACAAACCGCCGCCTAGCAAACCGACAGCACGTAGACCGTATCGGTTGAACAGCAATCCTGAAAAGAGACCCGCAAAGCTGAAGGCACAAAAGAAGGCACTGGTGATGAAGGCCACAGCGCTGGTTTCAGCACCGATACTATGCAGAAAGTCACCAAAGATAAGTCCAAACGAGGGCAATGCAGCTAAACCACTGATCTATGAGAAAATTCGTTAATTTCGTTTGCATATTGCAAGTAAAAAATTTTTGCTTGCTTTGACCTACAAAAGGTAACGCCATTCCAATGCACACGAAAACTCCCCAGCCGCCATCTGGCGCCACTAGTCGCGTTTGCGTCTTCATTTCACAACCTCACACTCTAATTGCGAAGTCTTGACTGATCTTCGGTAGCATTCTCAGTGTCTTCATACACTCAGACTACCATATTTTTATCACGTAAATAGAATTCAACCAAGTGATAAGATAAGTATCTATTGTAAGATGCGTAACGGAAGCAGAACTCCCACACTTTACAATCCAAGTACACCTTTGATGTTTTCTGACAAATGCTGTGACACTTTTATTTAAATTGCACAACATTCAAAACGATAAAATTTTATGCCCCACACCTTGGGACATAAAATCATAAATTTGCAGTTGGTAAATATTTTGCAGTAGTTGGAACAAAAGCACTAAATTCACTTTCTAGTTTTTAAAAATAAAACAACTGCTTCGTAAGTATATATTATTTTTTATAAATGAAGAACATCGAGTTTTAATTAAATGTTCCGCAAAACATTATCCTTTTCTTTTTCCGGGATTTTATGTATCCCTGAAGCATTATACTGACTGAATGGTCAACTTAATCTGATCAATGTTTCAACAAATGCACACAACTAGCCGGATCCACTAGCTGTCATTGTACCCTAAGACATAATACAGCTATCGCCAACCTTTCCACTTGAAGGCGAAGGCATACTGTGCCAAACTAGAGTTTCAATTGTACTGTTCTTCGTAACATATAAGTTAGTAAATTTTAAGGTTACTTTTCTTAATTATGTGGAAAATAATTGCTTGCTCCCAGCAAATTAAAACAAGCCTAATTTGAAAGGATGTTTGGGTGTCACCCACACGAAGCGTCTACAAAAGTTAATTTTCTGCAAATGACACGATTTAATACCGTAAATTTTCTTTGTCCTTCTCAAGAGTTATTTCCAGTAAACCTGCCTATTATATAGGAGTAGACCCTTGATGACACTTGAATCCAACTCAAATAGTATTGCATTTAATTTTATCACTTTTACGTGTTATCATCAACTACAAAAGGGCACTTGGAACTTATGTTGCCATTCACATACCGTTACTGGAATGTGATGTAGTGAAAATAACAAATAAAGCCTTTGGATTTAAATATCTGTCATTGTGTTTACATTCGCTTACAGTAGGTTATGTAAATTTTTCTGAATTCTTACTTGTGATTTTTGACAAGAGCGCAATGTTCCAAAATTTAAGGGCAGAGAAAAGGCAGACTAAACATGACTATCATTTAGTTCATGTCTTCCTTATTAAAGAAGAACTAGTGATCTCAAGTATAGTGATTTAATACCTCTTATGACTAACTTCATATAAACTTTCGAAAATCAATGAAATCTATTGCTCTTAACTGAAATTTACTTCACTGAGGTAAAGGACAACGCCTAACCTTCGCTAGTCTGCCGAAAATAAACTTGTTCGCAATTAAATTATTGCAATTGCTTATTCAATGGCGAAATTTGTGTTCAATTAATGTTGAAACACGAGTCGTTCCCGTTGCGTTCATCTGATGTGGGAGGCTTTGCAATTAACTGTAAATTTAGTTAGATTGCTCGTTGCTGAAGAAAGGGGTGCAGGCAGGTCAGCTTCTGTAGTTCCTAAAAGGCTCACACAAACAGCATTACACGAATCCGCAGAGTCTGCTGTAGCTCTCAAAAGTTGTGCTTTGGTGTAGCAAAGTTTTCGAATTTCAAAATGCTATCAATATCATATCAGCTACCGCTTGCAACCAATTAACTTGCCCCAGAAGGCTTTCTTGCATTAAGCGCACGACACCCCATTGCAGTCTCTATTGGAAATGTGTAGGTGTGTAAGTTTATTTGCACACATCTGCTGCTCGGCAAAACTTTTTGACTTAATTCCGGTGAACAAATAAAGGCCCGCCACGAAGTACACGCCACAACGACTGCCTGAGATGCTGCGGTGAAAACAAAAATTGATTACACTCGAACTTACCAAATGATGGTAGAATTGTTATTATTTTTTGCAAGTTGTTGTTAGTGCCACTGTGTGTCATGCTCTGAAAGCTCTTTGCGGTTTGGTTGTGCAGTTAAGTATTTAAAATTTGTTGGCATCGGAGTAATTTCGACTAAAATTCCTGAATTTGGTATTCATTATCAAAAACATGTGGCAACTCTGAAGGGAATGTTAGTTGTTGTCAAATAAATAAAATCGCAATATATCATTAAAACAACCGCAGCTGGGCACAAGCAGCACGTAAATGCAGGCATAACATATGTATGGTATATATCACATATGTGTCTGCGGGTGTTAGGGTGGTTTTTTAAATCAAGACACCGAACTTTTGTCGCCCAAAACGATTTTTTGTAGGCGAGGGGACGACAACAAAAGAGTCCGCCTGTAAACCCAGTCTAATTCTGCAGTTTCGTAATTTTATATGAGAGAAAAGAAGAAGGGAGAAGCGGCATGGTTGAATTTTTAAGGGTTAAAAACGGTTTATCGCGATTGCCGGCAAAAATACGATAGAAAATATCAAAGTTGTAGGTAATAAAAAGATCTATAACTTTTATATTTACACCTTTGTCACATAACCTCAAAATGTATATGAAAAATGCAAATGTCCAAGTTTTTGGGTTTATTTATTTTAATCTTGTACAAAAAACCTCTTTCGTTTCCAATCGGTTTTAACCTACTATGAATTTCTTTCACTATTTACAATTTTCAAATGCCGATAACTTTTTTCTTAGTTAACGTTTTGTTTTTGGTTATATGAAGAGATTAATAAGGATTGGTCCATTAAATAGCCCCCCTAAACAAAATTGATTAAGTAGACTCTTCTACGATACGTGGTGAGTATTTTAGAGATATTTATTTTATTTTCATACAAATAAATGATAGCTAGTTAAGTTTTAAAAGCAAGATTTTTAAACTTAATTAGTAATGCACACTTAAATAGTTAGACCAGCCTGGAATACTCAAAATGCTTAAATTGGCAACTTATTACGCAAGTAAGGAATGTGAATCCGACTTTCTCTATTTTAAGCTTTATCAAACATGTATTTAGTTTATAAAAAAATATCGGCTAATGAGACAATCTTCGAAATCACGCTTTCAAAAGGGCCTCTACGGACGACAGTGTTTCTAGGAAAAAAACGGGATTTTAATCTACTAATTATTTGGAACATATTACTACTTTCCTATGCTCAGCCATGACTTAAGGAATGTTTCTATCTCTGACTATCCAGACCCTGTGAATCCAAACCTAGTGAAATATCAAAGCTGAAAAACTGTTCGTTGCTTGAATAAAAATCGGTAAGGAAATATTAAATATGCCCCCACTCTAGTACACTTCCACACATATTTTAGGCGCTGGTGTGCAGTCTTTTTCGCCATTTGCCAGAAGCAAACAAAAGTTTCATCTTTTAGCTGCAAGTTCCAAGTGCAAGTCTGCAGACTGCTCGACAACTCGAGGTAAGTGTGTGTGAGTATGAGCATATATGTGTGAGCGTGCATGCATTGTGGCATATAAAACCTTGTCTTCTGATCCAAGTGCCATCCATTGTGTGGCGCAATCTGTTTATGTTTTGTTGGTGTAGGGATTGTAGTGGTCAGTTGTTTTTGGGTCAGTTATTATAACCAAGAAAGTTTTGCGTAAAACTTTTTATAGCTTCTGGATACAACTTCTGCTAGACCAAGTGCATTTGCTTGTACTTTGTGGCCAGTTTGGGTAAATGAAAAACATTTCCCGAAAAGTTTAGACAAAGAAACACAAGCCTAAGCTATTCAGTAGTACAACGGGTTTGTCTGGCTTCATATATTCAAAATCAAATATAAAAAGTGCATATGTTACATAATTGATTACCTGTTGGATGCTGCATCTCAGTGATATTTACTTCACATACAATGAAGCGAATGTAACATTTTTTTTATCAACTTACACAATTATAATTATTTATTTATTTTTTTTTCTTTGATAAATAAAATTACACTTTTTGAGCATGGTGATCGATAAGAAAACAATTTTTTTCCTTTAATTGAATAAATGAGAAGTGAATATTGTTTAAAATATTTTTATTATCTTGCAATACATGTCGGTTGATCAAGAATTTTTATCAAACTATAGGTTTATGGTAACTGAAATAAGAAACATAAGTTTGTGACTTGATATTCTCTAAATATCTGGAAAATACCGCGTCAATGGTGGTCACATATATTCTTGTGGATCATTATTCATTTTCAAATTAAATTTTTCCGAGAGAAAAATTGTCAACCGCTATATCAGATATTTTATCAGCGAATGTGATGTTTAAATAGAAAGGGCCAGAGGGGTTAACTATTTTCCAAAATAAAAATAATGTTACTAATATTATAACACCGAATATCAAATAATTTATTTTTACAAATTAATTTTTTATTAAATTTCATATTTTTATTTGCCATTAAAAAATTGTCTCTTATATATTAGTATTTTTGAATCACCCTGCTGTCTCTTCAATTGATTTGTTCCGCTTGAGATATGCGAAAATACGCCTAAAAACATTTTGCTCATACTTTATTTGATTCAGTCCCCACGCTCAAAGCCCGCGGTAGCAGCTATGCAGAAGCTTAATAGGAATCTGAAATGAAAAACGCTCAACTTTGCCCTCTTTTCTAATTTCAAAGTTTCTGCTTTAAACAATCCAGTTAAATCTTCGAAATGTTTCTTCAGTTACAAACGGATATCGAAAACTAGTTTATGAATATGTTAAGATTCGAACGTTTATTCAAATTATCTTTTTTTCCCTTCAATTAAAAAGAAATGTACATAGAAATTATTACATTTTATATACAATAGTATAGTTTTATTTTCAGAATCGTAGAAAAATATTGCAGCGCTCTCGCAACATGTTGAAACAGAGTATACTCTTTTGTTCACCTAAAAGTATTCGGGGTAGATATAGGGTTATCTATACACCTATAAATTATCAGAACGACTAGATGAATTGAATTCCCGGTAACTTTCCGTTTATATATCTCGTAGCGTAAAAAGTTGTCAAGTACTTGGCGCACATAGCCATGTAATTCTCCGGTCAAGTCTTAACTGAAGACTATCTTCATGAAAACAAATGGAACTGTAAATCAATCCACGGGCTGGATATAGGTATGTATGAATAATACCTCGTACAAATTTATTTATTTATGTAAAAAGCGTGTGAACGTAAGTAGAACTAAAACGCAATCGACCTTATGCACGCTTTTT